GCTACTTTGTACTCATGGTGATAAATCCTATTACATATTTCTTTTTAGTGATATGGTTTGAATGATCCATTGCTTGATTTGGTGTTCTTGCAATTTTAAGCCTGTTACAACTGACTTCAAATGGCTGATAAAACTCAATGTTTCAAACAAGGGGCAGAACTTAAATAATAAAACCAACAAAAATTATGTATCCAAACACAACATTCGTACTTCAGTAAAGACTAGTCGCCAATTGACATTTCATAAGTCTGGAATAAAAAAATGGGATTTTACACTTTACATATGTTGCATTTATTGGAACAGGAGAAGATTCAGTCTAAACTGGAGAAGCTGGGAATTTTATTTGGCCATAATATAGTCATCCTATGTTAAGACATGCTTTCTGCCTTCCTTATATGAACAGAAGACTGTTGTAGCTTCCTCTTCTGTTAAAGGCAAAATGATTAATTTTTGCCAGGTATAGTGCAGCCCAGAATAATTAAATATTAAAATGTATGTATCACATTGAGCTATGGAAATACTCTTGTATTCCACGTACTTAGCAAAAACATATTATACAGAACAGAAAGATACGCAGCTTTGAATCTCCCCAGGTTCTGCGGCAATCAAGATATAATATAAATTAGCAAGCATTTTTCTTCCCTGAGGAAGTAAATAATTGGTCTCAGTCTCATTGTAAATGCCCTCCTGACAACAGAGAGGCGAAAAAATGCCTTCACCTTCCATTGATGATCCATTTTCCTTAACAGTAGAACCATAGGGATTTTCTGTCTGTGGGCATAGGAACACTAAGAAAAGACTTTGCTTGTATCTTTTCTTGGCAGAAAATCCCCTTTGTAAATAGTAATTTAAATCTTTGGAAATATTCCTGTGAAATGGTTGGATGGTCCCAAAGAAGCTTAAAAGATTTTATTCATGCACTCATACAGACGCGCACACACACACAAACAAACACACATATAAACATGCTTTCATTCCATTTTTCCTCCTGTCGAGCTGGAAGTGTTACAGAATATCTTATCCAAGCTACTGGAGAATTTGTATTGGGTATTTCATCTTTAGAGGATGAAAATAAGCTATCTTTTATTTCCTCCTGCTCTAAGACTATATGGGCAGTTTTCCTAGCTTTATTTGTGGATTCCATTTGCAGGAAACTAGAGGAAAAATAATAATTTGGCCTACTTCAGAGATTTATAGCTCTCTCAGTTTGAATGAAAAGTATCAACTTAATTCCATTTGCTTTATGTTACATAAAGATAAAGGAAGGTGAACATGATTGGCTGTGGCATGGATAATTCTGAGGAATGCAGACCTTAGTTTACAAACCTTCCATCAACTTCCAATAAAGAATTGAGCATCATCTGTGAGAGTCAGTGTGGTGTAATAGTTAAGGGACTAGCCTAGAAACCAGGAGACTGTGAGTTCTAGTCCTGCCTTAGACATGAAAAAACATGAGCCAGCCATTCTCTTATAGTTCAGCCCACCTCACAGGGTTGTGTGGGGAAAATAGGAGGAGAAAGGAGTATTATGTATGTTCACCACCTTGAGTTACCAATAAAGTAATAAAGGTGGGATAAAAAATTAAGTAATAACATGAAATCAATAACCAACAGCTTTGAAGGCTAATTTCCTAGTACCAGGTTTGAAAGAATTATTTTAACAAGAAAACAGAATGTGTTCCTTCCAATACTGCTGAACTATAAATATAACATTTTTTATCCTTGGTCATCCTGGTTAGGATGTTGCAAAGACTTAAGAGGATAGGAAGTCTAAATGTTTATTTCTAGTCATGACAGCATTTGCTTAATCTTAAACAATCCAGTCAACTCTTTAAATCAATATTTAAAGAGGGAGGGGGAATCTACTACCCCTCCAAATAAGGGAGTATTGATTTAAAAAAAAGAGCAATTATCACTCAATAAAGATGTGAAGTGCAAAATAATAAATAAATAAAGATATGTTTGCATGGGAAAGAAAATTTCAATCAGTTGCAATTTTCTGAAAAGCAAAATGCAATTAGCAACCAACAAGCTCTATAAATCTAGATCAGGGCTACTGTTATCATTTAAAGGTAATGTAGTTGCCTCTAATAGTAGATGCCAGGGGTTGGGAAATAGATTGCCAGTATCCCTGAAGTTCATCACTCAAGTACAGTGAAGGCTACTTTCCCATCACTCTAGTTGCGTCCTTTGTGAAGGCCAGAAAGTCATTTTTCCCTTGGTCTCATGCAATCTTTCACAAGATATGCCAAATCTGGACTGTCTGAAATTCAATAAGATACTAGTGAATTAATTTCTTTTCTATGTTTATTTCCATGCTGAGATATTTTAAGTACTCATGGAGAGATATTTATTCTATATATTTACTTCATAAGGAATTAAAATTTATTAGCACACTTCTATTAGTCATAGGAAAAAGAAAGAAGTCCCTGCGGATTTTACTTCACTAGTTGTTACCAACTATAGGGTACAGTGCTCATTTCCATTTCAAGGCCATGAGCCAGTGCTGTGTGAAGACAATTCCGCGATCATGTGGCCAGCATGATGTCGCAGAGTGCTGTTTCCTCCCCACCAAAGTGATACCTATTTATCTACTCACATTTGCATGCTTTTGAACTTTACAGGTAGGCGAAGACGGGAACTCATCTCATTGCTCAAGGCTCAGGTCTCAAACCCAGGTTGTCAGCTTTCCAGCTGACAGGCCCAACGTCTTAACTACTAAGCCATCCTGCCATCCCCTATTAGTCATAAGGTCCTTTGTACTCAGTTCCCTTGAAGGTGGAAACCCCTTTTTTGTGTTAATTAGGATAAATGCTGTCAGTCATTACTGAAGTCGTATAATCTAGTCAAGGCTTTTCAACCAGTGGTATGGGTACCACCTGTGGTACATTGGCACCTGGCAGGTGGTACGCGACCATCCTAGAAAAGTGGTAGTGGGGGAGGGGAATGAGGTGAACCAGTGGCAGCACTGCACAAACCTGAGCGAGAGATGGCTGGAGCTGCAGGGCTGTCAGGGCTCAGTGGAAGCGCCAGGATCAGTGCCAGGCTCCAGCTGGAGCTCAGCGCTGATCCTGGCACTTCTGCTGAGCCCAGAAGAAGTGCCGATCAGCTGGAATGTTGCAGCATCTCCAGGGTCTTGTGATTTACATTCAGATGCTTGGCAACTGATTCATATTTATGACGGTCACAGTGTCCCAGGGTTATGTGAAGTGAACAAAGCCTGCTGCAACCACCCAGCAGACGGGGGGAATAAAAACCAAACACCCCCCACCCCACCCCTGCTGCCAATCCTCAACAGAAATGCTCACAACAATGAAAGCCTCGGACAGGAGGAAGAGCGCCACCGGGTGGGCAGGCAGGTGTCTTGCTCGGCTGTGGCTTGGGGGGCACTTTTTTCAGTGCCATTGTAACTTCGAACAGTCACTAAGCAAACTGTTGTAAGTCGAGGACTACCTGTACTTTATCACTTTTTTCCTTTTTTGGGGTGGGATCATCAAGTTTTTGACACCTTGCTAGGCGACTGGTGGTACTCGGATATTGCCATATCCTAAAAGTGGTACAATGGGTGAAAAGGTTGAAAAGTCCTGATCTAGGTGAATCTTATGTCTGACCCATTGCAATAGGTGAAATGCTAAATGTGCTAAATGAACTAGTGCAACTTTAGTCATCTGGAAAATTATTACAATGCAAATGAAATACAGAGATATGGTTCAATGGTTACCAGAGCCATATTTTCTTAATATATATCTCACCAGAAAGCATGTCCATTAATAGGATTTAAAAAGAGAGTTCACGTTATGAATGTAACTCAAAATATCTTGTAACATTCATTAACAACATGAACTCATTTGTACAGATTTAAAACTTAATTCATAGAATAGAGTGAAGTTACCACTGACCTAAGTGCTTATAAGGTGGTAATTTACATCAGGAAGACAGTCTTGTGTGAAAATAGGATAGCAGAAAGGATTTAGCAATTTTTCATTAGCACTTGGACGTTGATAAAGGGGAACAGAAAAGAGCTTTGTGACCTTTCAGTGTTTAAATTATTAAAGAGCAAATAGATTTGAGGTCTGGTTGCTTGTAGATCTAATTTGTCTTTTTAGGGAAAAGATGAAAAGGTATTTTGGGTTTGAAATTGCTTTAGTTAACTTGGTTCATTCTTTAAGGTATCTCAGGATGAATTCACATGTTTTACCTGAAGGATATTTCCCATTCAGTTTTCTACATTTTTTAAACTGGAGACTGAATCCTATAATTCAGAAAAATATGACATTGAAAGGATAACTGTATTTTTATCTACATTTTTAAGAGCAATATATCAAGTCAGTTCATGTTAAAATTTTAACAAAATCCTAATGCTCTTTATTTCAATTTTCCTAAGTCATTCAGTGTTCTGAAGCTAAATAGTTGAATACCTCATCAGCACTGTTGGTGTCTTACTTGACTATGCTTCTGGGTCAAACTATATGTTGCATTATATACTGGCTGGCATACTTCAATGCAATGCAACGCAATGCAACCTTTTGAAGAAAGATTTGAATTATTGCCTGCAGGTTGGGAGTTTCAAAACATCCTATTTTCTCATGTACAATTAACTATCTTTAAGACTAACAGAAACGTCTCTTCCTGATCAGATTTAATAAAGCTCTGCTAGTAGAGCTCATCTCTGAAAATGGGATTGGGGTTGAGGAATGAGGATAATATAGATATTCTTCATTTAGCAAACATAATTCATTTTGTCAACTCAGTCATTAAGTGAAGTGGTGGCTAAGTGAAATCATGACTGTGCTTACGATCTTATTTCAGCTGTCCTTTGCTTTACAGACCTACAAAGGACATATGGTAAATATGTCTTGTATTTTGTATTGTATGTCCATGTTGTATGTCTTAAACATATAACTATTTATCATAAATTTTAGTTCATATGATTTAAGAATTGGTTTTTTTTTAAGGATTCTAAATTAACCACATTTTTTCCTCATTTCTTGTCTATGCTAGTGTTTACCAAATAGTTGTTGAGGAAGAACGCCCTCGCAGAACCAAGAAAACCACAGAAATCCTGAAATGCTACCCTGTGCCAATTCACTTCCAGAATGCTTCAATTCTGAATTCCCAGTATTATTTTGCTGCTGAGTTTCCAGCCCACAGCATTCAAATGGCTCAGACTTTTACTATTGGTGACAACAAAACCTACAGTGGCTTTTGGAATACTCCTCTTCTTCCTCATAAAAGTTACAGCATTTATTTTCAAGCTGCCAGCAGAGCAAATGGGGTAAGCCTGCAAGCACTGCTTTAGTGTTGTATCCAGTCTATGTTGTCCTCTTTTATGTCAAAAATGGAAAGAAGTTATATCACACGTACAGTACACACATACACCTAATCTACCTATCTAATCATCATTGTTTGGAACAGAAATAAAACAGGGTAGAATTAAGTAGTTATATCAATGGAAAAAATAGGAGGAAAAAATTATTCAAAATTATCTTATTTATACTCTTTTCAGTCTCTCTTGCTAAGTGTTTCATTAGCTGCTCCATGGGTCTTTCAACTATATTATCTCACTACATCAGCCTCAATGTTATTGTTCCCTCATGATTGTGTTGATACAAACTTTTGGGTTTTTTTCCCTCAAATACTAAAACAAAAACAAACAAAACAAATTAAGCCAAAGTACAGAAATATGAAAAGGTCCCTCCTTTGCAGATCATATTTTATCTAACAGATTCTAGAATTGTTTTCCATTTTCTGGGCATACCTACAAGAGCCCTTCATCTCTTGATAAGCTTCAGTTGTTTCTCTTGACAGCAGAGAAATGTTTTCTGCCAAATACCATAATGGGCCATGTCTTACAATGCATTGATAGTGCAGAAATGTGAGATATCATTGATTTTTGTTTGCTTCCCTTACATTGTATGGTATGAACTATATAACTGACTATAAAGAAAATAAAATATCCCAAGGTCAATATATTGTCAAAAGGGGAAAAAAGTATAATGGCTAATGCTTCATTCACGTTCTACTTTTATGCTAAGTGAAGTATTGATGTTACATGTCCAAGTACATTTTCATTCATTTAATTTTAACAGGGAAATGAACTAAACTAGGCAATTGTTAAGCACGAGGATATTAAATAAAATTGTCATAACATTTGAGCATAACAGTTGTTTGAGACATGCACCCAAAAACAAACATTTTGTTATTTTCTGCAACAAATAATCATTTCTTTTTTATCTGCTATAGGAAACAAAAATTGACTGCGTCAGAGTGGCTACAAAAGGTATGCTCCTATTGTGCAGTTCTTCTAGATTTATATTATTTATACATTGTTAAATAGACTTACAACATCCTTTCATGATAATACATAAAGTACAGATTACTTTAAATGTATAAGAAATGGAAATGTTCAGTTCATTTAATATAGAAGCCATAGTCTTACAGTACATGCATTTGGTTTTTTCATTCCATTTGTGACTTTCTGATGCTGCTATTTGCCTAATGTTAAGCATTATGTATGATAAATGGATAATACATATATCTAGGATGCTAGGAATATTATTGCTTTAACAACAGCAATAAAATAATAACATAACGATGCATTTAAATTTGAAAATTAATTTTTGACAAGTTTGGTCAAATGCTAGAAAAGCTAGACTCTATCAGAAAACAGAGACTAATTCACATCATCTGGAACATTTTTAAAAAAAATAGATCTATAGAACTATAATTCCAACAAACAATTTAGGAAAAGACTTGCAAAGCTTTATGAACACTTTTTACAATAATTCCTTATACTGAGTTGCAAAGAATTTTCGTTGATTCGTGCTCCAAAATTGAAAGTTGGATTTTCAGGCATTTCCAGAGAAATGCTCTTAGGATAAATGGGATCAGAAAGCCCAAGATTGTTGTACGTGCAATTTTCTTTTTTCTTTTAACATTCTTAGCACATCTCAAACAACATTGCTGACACTAGTGCTACTTATTTTATCTATTATTATAACATATATTATTTTGGCACATTTATATGGCTGTTCCTCATTTTTGTAGAGAAATATAGGCAATTAATTGATTTGGGGTATTCTTCATGATTATATAATCCATATAAATGTTAGCACGTAGAGCACAACTGATGGTAATGAACAATAATGAAGTTTCTTCCCTATATTATTCCTAGTCAAGTGGAAGTTTGTTTAACTCCAGAGTTAAATAATTAATCAAGAAGAATAATTTGGTCCAATTTATTGTAAATGGATGAAATATTAACAATTGTCATCTGTTTTTATTTAGAAGTTATTCTGCCAATTGTTTCATCTTTTGGTAGCTGAACTTTTTTATTCCTGTGCTTATCAAAAACAAGAAGTGTTTTCTGCACTGAAATTGGTACCATAGCAACAAATAATATCAAAGTAGCCTTTCAGCGAAAGGGAAAAGATAAGATTCAGCTTTCAGTTAAAACATATGCTAGTTCACTTTATATTATAAAAGCATCCGTGTGAGTATTTTGTAAAACTTCTGAAAAGTCTGTAGAGTTCTCAGGAGTAATAGGACTGAGGTGCAATGTGCAGCACTTGTTTGGCAATTCCCTTCCAGAATGGCAATAATTAGGACAAGAACTGTTTTTAGCCATGTTTTTGAATGAAGACTAGCCCCACGTGATATCTATTTCTTGTCCTGTAGTGATTGTAATGTATATATCAGTAAATGGTGTCCCTGACCTCAGACATTACTTACATATATGAAATTGACTGAAATCTCATAAGATTCAAAGTAATTCTTCAGAAAGTATATTCTTATAGTTGGCAAATTATTTAAAATATTTTAATTGTGTTTTTAATCCTTGTGATACATTTTCACAATACAAATAATGTCTGAATAGGCATTTGATATATGGAGGTGCAGTAACACCTGATGTAGATATAATTTTTTGTGTTACAGTACAAGCATAATTTTTTACATATATCTCAGTAATAACATTTATTTTTTACTATATCCTGGTAATAAAGATTCTGACCATAACTTATTCTGCAAGGGAAACAGAAGCACGTTTTCTGGAAAGAGTGTTTATAAACAAAAAACTGGGAAAACATGAGACTTCTTCAAGAAACTTCATTTAATATGTCTTCTCCAGCTGAATTTTAAAAGGTGGTTTTATTTGCTTATAGCAAGCTGACTGCAGTGAAGATAGGATAGTTATATTATCTAGTTATACTATGACTTAAATAGAATTACATTTGAATAATAGTTTTTGATGAATAGTACAGTAATTCTCGATTTTCACTTAGTGATCAGGCTGCTTAGCATTCAAGTTGCCAGTTCCAATTGTGGTTGCTAGGCAAGGAGTACCTGTATATAAAATACTAGTTACATTTAGCTGTTGGTGGTATTTGTGTGTATGTGCACCTTTAAGTAGCAAGAACAAGTACCTGCAGTTTCTTGGCAGGATTTTTGGATGAGGTTTGCCATTGCCTCCTTTCTAGACCTGAGAGAGTTGACTGGCCCAAAGTAAACAAACCAGCTTTGTGCCTAAAGCACGACTAGAATTCACTGTCTCCCTATTTCTAGCATAGTGCCTTTATACTAAATGGGTTTTTATGTATTATTAAGATTCATTTATATGTAGGATATTAATATGGACGTATTTCTTACTTGCTAAATAAATCCTTATGCTTGTTTCTTGCACGTCATATTATTCTGCTTTTGTAAAGATGTATTAGGTTTTATTAAAAATATAATGTTGGTAGCAGAAATATTAAAGATAAGTAACCAAGTTAGCTTGAAAAATATATTTTCAGGTAGCATTTGATTTTTATCAGTTCTTGTCCCTTTCTTGCTTGCCAAAAATTCTTTTGCTTGCCAAGTGAGTGTTGTGCACTAGTCAGTTATGTTCACTTCTTTTGACTGTCTCATGCTTTTTCCCCCCTACCAAATGATTTAGGGTTAGAGTTACTTTTCTGCAACTTTAGGTATTCATGCCGTAACCACACAAAAATATTGCATCAATTGATTATGTCCATGGCAGAAAACTCTTTTTTCTACATGAGATTGGGCAAAAAAGAAACAAGATCCCTTTTGTCTTCTATATTTGATAGTTCTGGGAATCAAGGCACGGTCCTGTTCAGTGTATAAGATCAACATGCCATTAATGCTTTTGTTGAGTTTTGTTAAAATGAGGCTAGGCTAGGCTAGGCTAGGCTAGGCTAGGCTAGGCTAGGACAGGACAGGACAGGACAGGACAGGACAGGACAGGACAGGACAGGACAGGACAGGACAGGACAGGACAGAATAGAATAACAGAGTTGAAAGGGACCTTGGAGGTCTTCTAGTCCAACCTCCTGCTTAGGCAGGAAACCATAACATTTCAGACAATGGTTGTCCAATCTCTTCTTTAAAACTTCCAGTTTTGGAGCATTCACAACTTGTGGAAGCAAGTTGCTCCATTGATTAATTGTTCTAACTGTCAGGAAGTTTTTCCTTAATTCTAGGTTGCTTCTCTCCTTGATTAGTTTCCATCCATTGCTTCTTGTCCTGCCTTCTGGTGCTTTGGAGAATAGCTTGACTCCCTCTTCTTTGTGGCAACCCCTGAGATATTGGAACACTGTTATCATGTCATCCCTAGTCCTTCTTTTCATTAAAGTAGACCCAGTTCCAGCAACTGTTCTTTATATGTTTTAGCCGCTAGTCCCGTGATCATCTTTGTTGCTCTTCTCTGCACTCTTTCTATAGAGAGAGTCTCAACATCTTTTTTACATCGTAGTGACCAAAACTGGATGCAGTATTCCAAGTGTGGTCTTACCAAAGCATTGTAAAGTGGTATTAGCACTGCACGTGATCTTGATTCTATCCCTCTGTTAATGCAGCCTAGAACTGTGTTGACTTTTTATGGCAGCTGCAGCACACTGCTGGCTCATTTAAGTGATTGTCCACTAGGAGTCCAAGATCCCTCTCACAGTTACTACTATTGAGCGAGGTACCACCTGTGCATTTGGGGGTTTTTTGCCTAAATGTAGAACCTTACTTTTTTCACCATTGAATTTTATTTTGTTAGCTCCCAATCTTCAAATCTGTCAAAATCCTTCTGTATCTTAAGCCTATCTTCTGAGGTGTTGGCTATTCCTGCCAGCTTGGTGTCATTTACAAATTTGATGAGTTTCCTATCTATTCCCTCATCTAAATCATTGATGAAGATGTTGAAGAGTACTGGGCCTAAAACAGACTTGGGGTCACCCACCGCATACTTCCCTCCATGTAGATGCAGTTCCATTGAGGACGACACACTGATTTGTTGCTTGATTATCTTTTCCAGAATCTTCCCAGGGATTGAGGTCAGGCTGATAGGTCTGTAGTTTCCTGGATCTATTTTTTTCCTTTTTTTGAAGATGGGAACTACATCAGCTCTTTTCCAGTCCTCTGGTAGTTTCCTGGTGCTCTAGGATCATTGAAAGATATAGTTCAGTGGTTCTGAGATCACATCTGCCAGTTCCTTCAGAACCTTGGGATGTAATCCTTCTGGTTCTGGGGATTTGAACTCATCTAGGATGGACAGGTGCTCATTTACCATTTTATTGCATATTTTAACTTATGTTTTTAATCTGTTTTTTACGCTACTGTTTTTGATAGATTGGACTGCTTTTTTCCCTTTGTGTAAAGACGGATGCAAAAAATGAGTTAAGTAGTTCTACTTTCTCCCTGTTGCCTGTAATCTTCTTGCCACTTTCTCTCACTAATGGATCAATTGTTTTCTTGACTTTTTTCTTGTTTTTTACATGTTGAAAGAAACTTTTTTTGTTATTTTTGATTTTTGTCATAAGTCTTAAGTCATTTTGAGCCTCAGTTTTCCTCACTTCAACTTTGCAGGTTTGAGCTATTTATTGATAACCTTAGTTATGTGCCCCTCTTTCCACTTTTTATACTTGTCCTTTTTGTCTTTCAATTTATCAGAGAGTTCTTTATGCAGCCATGCTGGTTTCTTTGAGAGCTGTTATTTTTCTTCTCCATTGGTATTGTGCTAGACTGCGCTTTTATAATCTCACTTTTCAAAATTTTCCAGACTTCTTGAGTTGTTTTCCCCTTGAGTATTCTCATCCATAGAATCCTTCCCAAGCTCTCTGTAAGTTTATTGAAATCAGCTCTCTGAAAGTCCAAGACTCTAGTTTGACTTTGTTCTATTGCTTGTGCTTGCATAATGTTGAATTCCAATATTGTATGATCACTCCCCCGCAAGGTTCTTGTTAGTTCAGCACCTTATATCATTTCATCTCTCTTAATGAGAATTAAGTCCAA